TGAGGTTTTAATTTAAAAATGTAGTCATTTATTTTAATGATTACATTTAACAGTAGTACAAAATTAGTAAATTAATTTTTTGGCGTTGGATCTTTTGTTCAAATAGAGTTATTTCTCCGATCACTGTTTTAAAATCACACTACATTTGATTGAACAGGATGTGTCTTTTATATGGGGTTTCAAACAGAGAGCGAAAAAGTGTATGTTCTCACCACACCAGCCAAATTAAAGGCTTCAAGGAGATTAAGGGATGGGATTGAAAGCATAACCTATGGCAGAGTAGCAAGTGGCAGACTGTAATATCAGAATTCCAACATTACTCTGCGCTTGTAAGTAAAGTTGCAGTCAGATTCAGAAGCATCATAATGGCAATTAATCACCATTTGGTGTCTGAAACCCTTGCAAAATCTGGGCTATTACTTTAAATGTGGTACATTTTATTCAATTCTGAGCATCTAATTATAGCTGGAATGTTGTTGTCTTTAACACAGTGGAAAACAACCAAAATGAAACTGGTAATCTGCAACACTAATGTTTGAAGGAATATCATGGATAATGAGCTTGTTCTTGTTGAAGTGGGGATTAGATTGAGGCAATCTCATCAAAGCTTTCACAATTCTGTAGGCGATTCACTACGCAGACTTGGGAAAAAAAATCTCCTTAATGTCAAATGGTTCATATAATGGACAACGTAACTTTAAACTGAGAAAACTTTTATAGGGGAAGCCAAGTGGATGTCTTTTGTTCATGATGTGGTTACTTACTTGTTCTTCAGCCAAGTTTGCACAGATGAGATAAAGACGATGTCCATGAATTCCAAATGGGTATACTGTTTGTGTATCAATCTTTGTTCATTGAGCTAGGAAATTCTTTCATGTAATGGTCATGGTCACACTGAGTGACAGGACAGGCTCAACAGGCTATTGACCTTTTCCTTATCCCTATTTCATGTTCCTAGATCCTAAGCAGTTACAGTAGTTTCTTTATAATGAAATTTCTAGTTAACTTGTAGAAAAAAAGAAGATAAAGCTGATGAAGCAGATCATTTAAATAGATTTGTGAGGCAACTAATTGTGTCTTTGGAGAAAATAGGTTAATATTAATCAAAAACAGAAATTGCTGGAGAAACTCAGCAGGTCTGGCAGTATCTGTGGGAAGATAGCAGAGTTAACATTTCGAGTCCAGTGACTCTTCGTCAGAACTGTTCTGATGGAGAGTGGCCAACTCAAATGCTGCTAGACCTGCTGAGTTTCTCCAGCAATTTCTGTTTTTTGTTTCAGATCTCTGACATCTGCAGTGCTTTGTTTTATTTTAGGGTAATTTTACTTTTTGGCAGTGATGAATATTAGGGTTGCAACATATCGTCTCACCATGATACAATATGGTCAATTTCCCTTTCACTGAAACAAGGGAATATTTGTCCATAGGACATATATTAAGGGCTAGGTAGGCGTAGAATTTACTCAGTGTGCTGGATGACTCTCAGTTAATGTGTAAAAAGTCAAGAGCATGGATGGAAAACTACAAGGGGCCGGCCTCCACCCCACCCCCAAACCCCCAGAATGTATGTTGGCACTGTCCTATTAGTGCTCTGAACTCTGTAGTGCACACTACACGGGTGCAGGCAGACCCACAAAGGAGATCCTACAAATCCCACAGCGAGGGAGATCAGGGCTATTGGGTTGGTCCTAATTGCCCACCTGAGAGAGAGAAAAGGCATGGGATTTTAAGTATAGGACAAAAGAGAGTTTGTCTTCTCAGAGGTGCCCCCAGTGAGCAAAGGGCATCCTCCAAAGATTCTCACTGGCCTGTCCATGCCAACTGTGTAACAACGTGAGCATGGTGGTATTGATGTCATTTGAGCTTTTAACAGTCTGTGAATCCTTAATTTCTTCACATATAGTGGTAGGCTGCTGATTGGATCACCTGCACACCCTCTCTATAACAGGGATTGAGCTCAGGGAATGTGGACTAATCACATAATCTATGTTACATGCCATTACAGTGAAAGCCATCACTACGGTAGTGTATAATAAGCAGCCCTAGGATGCTAGTAACTTTTAGTTTGCATCACAGAATACTGTGGCAGAGAAGGAGACCATTTGACCCATCATATCCATGCTAGCTTTCTGGAAGGCCATCTCAGAGAATCTCAGTCTGCTTCCCCTGCTGTTTTCCCATAGCTCTATAAATCTTTCTCCTTCAGGTATTTATCCAATTCTGTTTTGAAACACCAGGTTACATGCCTCCACTACCAACTTAGGTAGTGCATCCCAGATTTTTACTCACTGGGTTAAGACGGGAGGGGGTGTAAAAAGTCCTCAACTTCTTTTCATATGCATCCTAAATGGATGTGCTGTGGATCCTTTCACCAGTGCAAACGGTTTCTGTCCATGGTGCAACCCCTATGATGTTGAGCACTGCAACAAAATCTCTTCTGAATCTCATCTTCTGCAAGGAGAAAAACCTCCAATTCCATTCTTCCAATGTAACTGAACTGCTTCATCCTTGGACCATTTTTGTTTATCTTTTTTTCAACCCCTCTACAGTCTTCCTATCTTTCCCATAATGCGGGGCCAGATTTGTAGACCATATTTCATTTGAGGCCAAACCTATGTTTTGTAAAGATTCATCGTAGCTACCTTGTTTTTGCACTCTGTACCCTAATGTATAATGTATAATGTATAATGTATAATGTCTGTTATTAAAATCATGTTTTTAACCTGCCCTACCATTTTCAATGTTTCATGAACATATACTTCCAGGTCTTTCTGCTGCTGCGCTCCAAGTGTCCTTTTATTTTGCACAATCTTTCCTCATTCTTCCTATCAAAATGATCCACTTCACATTACCCTGCATTAAATTTCGCCTTTCATGTGCCCACCGTTCCTTCGGGCTGTCGGCCCTTTGAAGTTCCACACTATCCTCCTCATATTTCTCAATGCTTCCAAGTTTTGTACCATCTCCAAGTTTTGAAATTATGCCCGGACTATCCAAGTCTAGGCCATTAATACAAATCAAGAAAAGCATTGTACGTATCATGCTTCAAATTTGCTGGCAAATCTATTGTGTTTTTTTTATTAAATGCCTCTTGGAAATTCGTATAAACCAATTGACTGAATTACCATTATCAAACATTTCTGTTACCATATGACAGTTTACCTTTAACAAATCCTTCCTGCTTTTCTCTAAATAATCTGCACTTATCTCAGTGAAAATTGATTTTGTCCAAGGTTATTGTTTCTCAAAACTGAAGTTAAACTGACTGGACTGTATTTCCTGGTTTTATCCTTGCACCCTTTTTTTAAACAAGGATGCCAGATTTGAAATTCTCCGCTCATCTGCCACTGCCCCAATTCAAAGAAGGCTTCGAAAATTATAACTGTCCCGACTACTCACGTCCTCACCTTTCTCCACGTCTGTACATGTATCCCATCCAGTACAGGTGATATGAACATGAGCTAAATGCCTGATTTAAAAGATTGGGCACCAAATCAACCCAACTCTCTTGAATTTTTCTCGTCCACCCATCAGACTGCTTAAACAAAATGCCTTTCATTTCTGAAGAACGGTCTAGGCCGGAAACGTCAGCCTTCCTGCTCCTCTGATGCTGCTTGGCCTGCTGTGTTCATCCAGCTCTACACCTTGTTATCTCTGCCTTCCATTAAACTGGCCATGGCCATAAGGCTTTGAAGTGTATGTCCTCCAATTCTGTTTGGTATAACTTAACACGAGAGCAGAAAACAAAACAGTCAGTTTGACGTTTTATGGTCATTGTTTGAAGGTTTTCTTCAATGTTAACCTCCCTGAGCCCTGATCTATGTTTTCTGTTTAATTCATGCTTTTCAGTCTCATTTGTCTTTTTGTAAATTCATTAAAAATGAAAATTCCCAGAAATGCAGGTTCATAAACATGCTGCTGTGCATGAATAATGATTAAATGAATTGTAACTTAAAGAAGCATAATACGGATGTGAATTTTTAGCTGTTTTTGGACCATGATTCATAACATTGATGCATACACGTTTTACACTTGGGTATATTCTAGTGATCTTGGGAAGATATGTGGATGTGACGAGATGGCAGAAAAAGGAATAAGCCATTGGGATTTTTGGATCCAACTTCCAAGTTGTCCCCAGGAAGAAAGTTTTTGACCAGTACTTTTGAAACATTCAGTGCATTTTTTTTTAATATCACAGCAACGTGGCTCGATTGTTTAGCTGTTTCACATCGCTGGAAAAATAGACATGTTAAAGACACACACAGCGATTATTGCAAAACCAAACAGCACGTTCAGGCAATTAAGAGTTTTATGATGAGCTTTAAATCACTGGCTCTTGCTAGTTGTTTTATACTGCTACTCTGGTTGTACTCGCTGCATCTCACTCTCATTCTTTTTGTTATTCTAAGAAGTTGTTAGATTTGTAACTTGGTTGTCCATTAGACTTGCCACAGAAAGATACAATTGGCAAACAGATATTCCTTTAAAAACATGGTCATTTCTATTGCAATGGTGATCCAGTTCTCTAGCCCAGAAATTGAAAATATTGACTATTTCAAGGTAATTGATTGTTACACATTTTTTAAATTATGTTTTTCATATTTCTCCTTTGCTTTTTCTTCCTCTCAATCCAATCTTCTTTTCTCTTGCTGTACCTTATTTAACTCTAACTCCCCTGCTTTCTCGGTCATTCCTCACTTACTTTGTCAACCCTTAAATCTAAATAGCTAAGGTGACCCTCATGGTCCTGTAATTTACTGAAACCCAGATCCCCCCTTTCACTTGCTATCAGCTTGCACTTGCAGCAGGAAACAGTGCATAACCAGAGGATGCAAGAAGATATCTTAATGGAACATCCATGCGGTGCTCTTTTTTAGCACGTTCTGTCTGTTGTGTTGAGAGAGTTTCGGGATGACGAATATTTTTCCTGTCATTTTAGCTTATGTTGTCGGCAGTTGATCTATATTAGTCAGTTATACCCCACTTTTCTATTGATACAGCTTCTTCGTAGCGGAAACAGATACCTCATAAGGTCAGATGACATGGTGGAAACGGTTTACACTGAGAAAGGAGAAATTGTGAAAACCAAAGAGCGACGTCTGTTCATGTTAAATGATGTACTTATGTGTGCTACAGTCAGCTCTCGGTACGTATAGCAAAATATATATTTTAAATCTTACATCCTGCATGATATTAGTGTAATTGTTAGTATTGGCTAAGTGTACTTTCGTTCATTTCAATATTGTGAAGGTATTACTATCTTTCTTTAATTATTCAATTTCTTCATAAAAAATGTGAAGTGACCCATAGGAATGTGAGCAATGATACTGTTTCTCTAAAAGCTGTGACCCTCAAAACTATCCCAGTAGCATGACCACAGTCTCCCCCTTTCCCATAAATCTCACCAAGTTCCAACTTTGGTTTTTACTCATCATCAGAAGCTTCCTCGTCTCTCCTAGAAAGTTTGATTTTTTTCTATCAGTTCCTCAACTGATTAAACTGAGATTTCTATCAGCTATTCAATCCTCGCTGACTTTTCTTAACGTGTAGAGTTGTTTCAAAGTATTGATGTGCCTATTTGCTCACTGCAGAAAGATTCAATCTTTTTGGTTCTTGAAGCAAGGAAACATCAAATGTTGATCTTGTACATTTGCAAATTTTCACTCCATGTCAGTTAGAAAAATGAATAATAGCCAAGAATGCCCCCAGAAACATTCAGAAAGGAATGTTGGTAAATGGCTTCCTTGCTTGTTTGAATGAAGGGCTGCGGTTACAGTTACAATGTTTAAAAGACGTTTGGATAGATACCTGAATAGGAAAGGTTTGGAGGGATATGGGCCAGGAGCAGGCAGGTGGGCGTAGTTTAGTTTGGGATTATATTCGGCATGGACTGGTTGGATCGAAGGGTCTGTTTCCATGCTGTATTACTCCAAGTCTTGTGCAAGTTTTAAGTTTTGTTACTGCTCACTCATAGTTGCAGACTTGATCTGCGTGTTTGAATGTTGTTATATTAGGACCTAGCTCAGTGATTGACAGCTCCTAACTTACTCCTGGTTATGTCAGTGAGCCTGGGAAGCTTTCAGATCAATTTCAAGTACCTTGTAGCTCTAAAAAGCACAGAGATCACACAGTTTTAAACATTTTCCTGAAAGCAACAAATTGTTCAAATGGTGTAATTGCTTCATGGAATCTTAGTGGACAGATCAATTCTTTGTTTTAAGATAGATTGGACGTTATTAAGGCAAGACTGTGTTGCTGTGTCCATGATTTACTATTGCCCAACAGTGAGGATGATTTTACTGCAAGTACTCCATATCTACTGGTAGACAGATGATTAGCCAGTGATATTGTGGAGAAAGTGATACAGAGTGGCGATGTCACTGGATTAGTAATGAAGAGCTCAAGCTAACATTCTGGAAACATGGGTCCAAATCCCACCACGGTAGATGGTGAAATTTGAATTTGAAATTCTGGAATTAAAAGCCAACCATCCAGTTCATGAATGTCTTTCAAGAAAGGAAATCTGCCGGCCTTACCTAGTTTAGTCTACATGTGACTCAAGACTGTCAATAATGTGGTTGACTTTTAACTGCCCTCTGAAATGGCCTATCAATCCATTCTATTTAAGGACAACTTGAGATTGGACATCAAATGTCAGCCACACCCTGTGTGAGAATTTATTTTTAAAAATCAGTGTTGATGAAAACAAATTAACCAGAGACCATAGGGAAAGATTGTTTAGTGAGAGAAGGAATTTTTCTACCTACTTAAACTATCAATCCCTTCTCCAAAATCCAGCTATTTTCAGTTACATGCATGAACTCCAACGATTTATGGCAACCCTTTAGGAGCTATTCTTCATAAAGAATCAAAAAAAGTTATATGGTCAGTTGATTTTAACCAAACCACACATCAGAGGCTGTAGGTTAGTCGTGAGGATTTGGAAGCTTCGCTGAATTTTTAAATAATGTCCCCAAGTCGGAATTGTTGTAGGCAGGCACAGAAATTCTGACTAAAATCAGTTAACTTAGTTCGGAATAGTCACTGAATTTGAGGCCTTTCTGGTCTGCATCACTCAATTTGGCTGGCATTGTATTTTGTGATTAAGCCTCTGAAGTTTCTGATGATCTTTGGAGAGTCGAGGCAGACTTGATGGGCTGAATGGCCTGCTTCCCCACTCTAGGGATTTCATGATTCTATGATTTTAATCAATTAATAGACATTTTGTAAACTAGCACAACTATTCTGGTTTTATGCAGAGCATGTTGTGTCATTAACTAAGATAATTTTTGTGAAAATTTAGACCTACACCTTTATTGACATCTGTCAAATTTATAATTAATCTGGTTCTGTAAAATACTCTCTCTCATCATCTTGAAAAAAGTCTTACAATTACTGGAGGAGTTACAACAAGGAATGCCTGATTTTGAGTCAAGCTATTTTGCTTCCTGCTGGTTTGTGTTGACTAAGTTTGGCCCTGCATGTTCATCTAATAAGATACAATAGTAGTAGAGAAGTATAATTCTGCTGTCATGCGATAGATCAATGTCCTATTAATTTTAGCTTTTGTTTAATCAAATCAGACCATTGTTTTGCAGTTATGAAAAATATGTGGAAACAGTTTTAATTAAATCATTTCAAATGTATTTTTTTTCATATTTATATCATCATTTAGTTTTGATACAAAATTACTGGGCACAACACTTCTTTAGTGTGTGATATTTCTGTTGAAAATATTGATCTGGATTTTAAAGTCTGTGACAAACGAACATCACTTGCTATGCTTGCATTGCACAGAAAAGGTGTGTGGGCTTTAGCACTGCAGTTTGTGTTATTAGTATCCTGAAAAGGAAGCCAGGACTTGTGTGACCAAACCAAACAACAGTCTGTTTCCTGAACCAAACAGATTGAAGAATCTTCACTGAGGGAGTGCTGTTTGGTAATTTGTTATTAGTGTTGGATATGTAGGCTTCCATCAGTTACTGGGGGGCAGGCACTGTCATAGGTTACTACTGTTTTTAGATTCATTCAAGGAATGTGGGCTATGCTTCCTGTGTCAGCATTTATTACTCAATTCTAACTGTCCTTGACAAGGTGGAGGTGAACTGCCTTAAGCTGCTGCAGTCCAATTGGTTGTATACCTCAATGCTGTTAGGGAGGGAGTTCCAGGATACTGGCCCAGAGATAGTGAATGAACAGTAATATGTTTCTCAGGTCAAATGATGAGTCGCTCAAAGAAGGACTTGCAGGTGGGCATGTTGACAAGTATTTACAACCTTTCTGTTTCTAGATAATAATGGTCATGGGTTTGGAAGGTTCTTTCTAAGGAGCCTTGGTGAATTTCTGCAGTGGATCTTGTGGATGGTACACATTGCTGTTACTGATTATCAGTGGTGGAGAGAGCGGATGTTTGTGGACGTGGTGCCAATCAAGCTAGTTACTTTGTCCTAGATGATTTGAAACTTCTTAAGTGTTGCTGGAGCTGCACCCATCCAGGCAAGTGGGGAGTATTTTATCTCTCCCCTGACTTGTGCCTTGTAGATGGTGGACAGGGTTGAGCAATCAGGGAGTGGGTTATGTGGTGCAGAATTTCTAATCTATGATCTGCTGTTGTAGCCACGGTATTTATAGTTCAGTTTCTGGCCAATAGAAATTCCCAGGAGGTCGATAGTGGGGAATTCAGTAATGATAATTCCATTGAACTTCAAGGGGCAATGATAAGATTCTCTTTTGTTGGAGATAATCATTTGCAGCACTGTTATTGAATGTTATTATTGTTATTAATGAATGTTACTAACCACTTGTAAGCCCAAGTCTGGATATTGTCCAGATCTTGCTGCATTTGAGCATTGACTGCTTTAGTATCTGAGGAGCCGCAAATGGTGAACATTATGCAATTAACAGCAGATTTCTCCACTTTTGACCTTATGATGGGGGAAGATCATTAATGAAACGTCTGGAGGTAGTTGGACCTAGGACCTGAGGAACTCCTGGAGTGATGTCCCAGATCTGTGATAACTAACCTCACAATTATTCCTTTGTGCCAGGTTGACTCCAACCAGCAGACTGATTCCCATTAGTCGCTGTTTTGCAAGGTGAAATAACTGCACAGAAGCTGGTATCCCTTCACCAAGTCACCCCATGTGCACTGTACATGGGCTGTGACTAGCCAGCTCAAAGCCAATCCCTAAAATGTGGAGACCTTTTGAATCTCCTGTTTATTTTAAAACCTGTTAAATTTGCTTTACTCAACCTGTTCAGAGATGTTGTTGCACACATCTGAAGCAGGTAGGTCATGAAGCAAGGCCTCCTGGCTCAGGTGGGGAAACCATTTATATCTGTCAGCCAGGGCTCCCTGATAGGGGTTGTTAACTTGGGCCAATCAAGAATCTCATAGTCAATGAGATCTACCTGGCCATGGTTCCAATCACCAGGGCTCCTTCATGCCACGTACGGTCAATTGTAACCTTGATGTCAGGGGTACTCAATATCACTTCACTTCCGGAGTCAGCTTTTCTGTCCACGTTGGAATCAAGGCTCTGACGAAGTCAGGAGTTGAGTGGCCCCCATAGTATCTAAACTGAGTGTCAGTGTGCAGCCTATTGCTGAGCAAGTGCTGCTTCAAAGCACTGTTGATGACCCCTTCCATTGCTTTACTGATTATCGAGGGTAGACTGACTGAATGATAATTGGTAGGGCTCATTTTATCCTGCTTTTTCTGTGCAGGATGTAGTTGGGCAATTTTCCATGTCGTTGGTTAGGTACCAGTATTGTAATTGTGCTGGAATGTCTTGGCTGGGGGCATGACAAGTTCTGGAGCACAAGACTTCTGGATTATTGCCAGAATAGACAGTCACATTTCAGTCACCTTTGCAGTGTTCAGTGACTTCAGCTGTTTATTAATATCACTCGAAGTGAATTGAATTGACTGAAGACTGTCATCTGTGATGCTGTAAGAGGCTGAGATGGATCATCTGTTTGGCACTTCTGACTGAAGATTGATTTAAATGTTGATCTTTTGCACTGATGAACTGGGCTTCTCCGTCATTGAGGATGGGGATATTTGTAAAGCCTCCTCCAGTGGATTGTTTAATTGCTTACCACCATTCATGTCTGAATGTGGCAGGACTGCCAGCTTTGATCTGATCCATTGGTTGTGGGATCGCTTTGCTCTGTTTATCACTTGGTGCATCTGCTGTTTGGTGCACAATTTGTCCTGTGTCGTTGCTTCACCAGGTTGCCACCTAATTTTAGGAATCCATGCTGCTGCTGCTGTTGAAATGGCCCCTCCACAGAACCAGGGTTAATCTCCTCGCTTAATGTTAGTGGTAGAGTAGGAGATATCCCAGGTCATGAGAATGCAGATGGTGTTCAGCTGCTGTTGATGGCCCACACTGCCTCCTGGATTTCCAGTTTGTTTGAAATCTATTCCATTTTGAAACAATGGTAGTACCACATGAATGTTGGAAGGTGAGAGAACTTTGGAAATTTTGGCACTAATACCCAGATGTTAATAAAAAGGACTTTGCAATGTGGATAGGGCTGAGTTTGTTGTTTCCAGTGCCTGGGTCAATTCTGGGTCCTTCAGGTTTCATTCCGTTAAAACATTTTAGTGTTTGGATATCATTGATGAATCCCATGCAAGTTACATAGGTAGTATCTCGCAGTGTTGCCTGCCCCTAGGGAATTAACATTGTCTGCATCAAACCATTTGAAGTTGCATAATGCAAATGTATTTCTCTCCCATACAGTCTAAAGCAGGAAGCTTTGTTTTTTTATGCTAAACCATTTAGAAAAAGCAAATTAGTGTGTAGAATAAAGTTAAAAGATTAAACCAGGGATAAAGGAATTAAAGGCAGGAGGAAAATAACTTCTTTAAGTCTCTGACATAATTACATCTCAAGAAGGAGACTCCACGTTTATACCCAAGAGATTGATTGACAGCAATTATAACTTATTCTGTTATTAAAAACTCACTTACACTTGATTGGAAAAACCCAAACTTTTTTCTTGCATGTTTAGTATGTATCTAATGGATAGGTGGGAGGTGCCTGAGATAGACTGGGAATCCATTGCCTCGCCTTACCCCTGGGAATGAAAGGTATGGCAAACCACCAATGACAAATGCTGCCAAGAAAAACAGCTCAGGCTGAAACCTTCAGGCAGAACACACATGATGAAATGAAAAGAGTAGCTAGGTGCTGCAATTTCATGTTCTTCATTTAGTTAAATGATAGATCTCGTGGTAAGCTATAGGTGTAGCAAAGGTTATGAAAGAGATTGGAATGAAAGAGATTGGACAGAACTTTGGGATTTCTGTATTTAATTATGTGTGGGTAGATACCAGAAATTTCTTCTCAATTTACCCATTGATAACCTCTTCTGACATTCTTGCTGGATGTGACTGATGATGTGAACATTTATTGCCCGTTCTCGATTGGCTTAATTGTTTTCTAGCATGTTAAAGCCATTTACAATTGCTAAGCAATTTGCAGCATTGGAAAGTTTGGCTCCAATTGACCATGATGAGTAGTTAGATTTACCTGATGTTCTATTTGACTGTCTTATTGTCTTTTTCAGTGTCCAGTATGACAACAGTGGTGCAATACCCTCTGGCCTGAGATACTTGTTGAAGTGGAGTGTACCGCTATCTCAAGTTGAAGTTGTGGAATTTGGGAACAGTGAGGATCTGGCAGAAAAAAATAGATTTACCCCACCACATTCTGGAGAAAAGATCCTAATTAGTACAAAACCAAGTAAGAATGTTTTCTCACTTTGATAGGTCAGACATACAAACCCTGAAGTATGTTTGTTTTCTGGCGTGTGAGACATTATAGTCGTTCTTACCAGGGATTGTAAATTTGCAGGCTGTGTCCTATTTGGGCACTGGAATCTTGGGTCCTTTTGTGAATCTACTTTTGCTTCACTGATTTCGTTGCAGTCCTAAAGGAGAACATTCAACCCATCGTATCTGCACAAACTCTTTGAGCATTTTTCACTGAGCAGCAGCAAACCCTTGCCTTCTCCCTTAACTCTGCACATTGTTTACATTAAATAACCGTCCAGTGCCCTCTTGAATACTTCAAATAACTGGCCTCCACCACGCTTCCAGGCAGTGCATTCCATTTACTTCCACTTTTGAAAAGGTCATTCTTTACACTGTTATGTTGAAGAAGGGGGTGGTTAGTTCATTTGGATTGCATGTCATTCAGAGTAACGCGAACAGAGCGGGTTCAATTCCCCTTCGACAACATACACTTGTGACCTAGTTCCTGGCCCATCCACTTGAGAGCTGAGGAGAATGGCGAGTCACCTAGGACAGCATTAAGTAAATAGCTCAGGCTAAAGTATCAACAGACAATGAGCCAAAGAGCTGTCTTTAGACAGAGCACATGTGAACGAATGAATTGCTGATGAATAAATTGTATGTTCAAAACTCATTATTTATTGATATCAGCAGTTTTAAGGAAACTGTACATTTAAACTTTATATGTTACCCCAAAATTCCACGGATACCAAAAGAAAACCTGTGACATTTAACTTTATGATAGGAGACTGGATTTATGAACATACTTCCAAAATCCAATACTTTGTCAAACCTTTAATGAGATGCAGGAAATGCATGTGTGCTTTTGAACTGCATCTCAATTTTAGTGGATCAGCTTTATCACTTGAGAAGTGACATGAGGTGAATCGCTGCAAAAAAAAAATAGCATGTAAGGGGTGAGAGAAGAGATTCAATTCAAGTTGCCCCGTTCACCTTTTATCAGAAGTCTATTCACAAGTCACCATTGAGAAAAACTCAAACTCTCCTATTTCACCTTTGGGAAATGCCGCTGGTTACTTCACTATTGCCTCAGAGCAAGCTGCTGCTTCCAAGGTGACAGAGAGTATCCCAACATCAATAAAGACATGGTAAGGTCATGCCTAACAAATCAGTTTGAATTCTTTGAGGATGTATCAAGCAAGTTACGTAAAGGAGAGCCAGTGGATGTGATCTATTTGGATTCCAGAAGTCCTTTGACAAGGTGTCACAGCAGAGGCTACTGAATAAGATAAAGGCCCACGGTGTTAGGGGCAAGGGACTGGCATGGATGGAGGATTGGCTAACTGGCAAAAGTCAGAGAATAGGGATAAAGGGGTCTTTTTCAGAATAGCAGCCGGTGACTGTTGGAGTTCAGTAGGGTTAGTGTTGGGACCACAACTATTCACGTTATACATTAACACATCAACCATGGACGAATGAACTACGGGCATTGTTGCGACGTTTGGAGATGACACTATGATAGGTGGAGGGAAAGTAGTGTTGAGGCTTCAGAAGGACATGGACAGGCTAGGAGAGTAGGCAATAAGTGGCAGATGGAATACAATGTGGGAAAGTATGAGGTTTTGCACTTTGGTAGGAAGAATAGAGGCATAGACTATTTTCTAAATGGGGAAAGGCTTTGGAAATCTGAAGCACAAGAGAGTTGAGAGTCTAGTTCAGGATTGTCCTCAGATTAACAAGCAAATTCAGTTGTCAGTTATGAAGGCAAATGCAATGTTAACATTCATTTCAAGAGGGCCAGAATGCAAGAGCAGATGTACTGCTAAGGCTGTATAAGGTCACAATTTGAATATTGTGGCAGTTTTGCAGCCCGCATTTAAGGAAAGATGTGCTGGAATTAGAGGTGGTCAAGAGGAGGTTTACAAAAATAACCCTAGGGATGAACCCCACGATGTCATATGAGGAGTAGCTGAGGACTTTGGGTCTGTACTCAAGTTTAGAAAGATGGGGTCGGGGGGGGTGTGAAATCTGATTGAGACTTACAGAATACTGAGAGGTTTGGATAGAGTGGACATGGAGAAGATGTTTCCACCAGGTGTAGAAACTAGGACCCGCAGGTACAGCCTCATTGAAGGGATGACCCTTTAGAACTTTGATGAAGAGGAATTGTTTCAGCCAAAGTGTATTCAGTCTGTGAAACTCATTGCCACATAGGGCTGTGGAGGCCAAGTCATTGAGTTCTTGACTGGTAAACGGATCAAAAGTTACAGGGAGAAGGCAGAAGAATGAGGTTTAGAAACAAATCAGCCATGATCGAGTAGTGGAGCAGATTCACTGGGCCAAATGGTCTAATTCTGCTGCTGTAAGTTTTATCTTATGGGAAGAAATAGTTACATGCATTATCACAAGGAAGAAAATACATACCTTGTGCCAGTGTAGACATTGTTTTGTGCCCCTTGCTTGATCCATGGTGTACCCTTCCCACATGTCCAAACTGGCTGCCCTGAGTGCAACACATATTATAGGCCAATGTGAGTTACCCACTTGCCAACTAGAAATCCCAGTTGGCAGGGGAATGGAGTTTTAATGGCTCCTTAATTAAATCTGACGATTCTAAATTGCTACCTGCCAGTGCTTGACAGTAGATAGTCATTCTGATCCCAAGTTGGCCTCTTTCAAAATGGTTCCATGTCAGGATCATGGCAGGGAACTGGCATAGAGACTGATGGCTCCAAATTGCCTGCCGAATTGCTCTGATCCAGGCATGAGCTATTTTAAATATTTAGCCTCAGATGTCTATTTGTGGCACATTTGTGTCATAGCTTGCGTTCAACCACTGGTAGCTTGTGGTTTGGGTAAAGTGCTGCTGCCAATTCTCCTTTCTGTGTTGAATCTACGGGCCCAACAAATGAGCATTGATAGAGCATAAACCACTACTCAGTCTTAATAAGAAGATGCACTTATCTTAACACCAAGATGTAGTTTATTGCATGACAGTAGTAGATAGAAGCTACATTGACTAGTTAGGCATAATTACAAAAAGACGTAATATTATAAAACCAAAATGCTGCAAATTCTGGAGATCTGAAATAAAAACAGAAGGTGCTGGAGAATCTTTGCACAGATGTTGCTAAATTTGCTGAGACCAACAGAGTTGATGTTTTGAGCTGAATTCAGTGGCTCTTTGGAAAACTTCAAGAAATTCAGAGTATATGAGAGGACTTGAGATGAAATAACACTTAAATGTAAATGTTTATGAAATACAACTGTTCAGTATTATTGCAGAAATTTATCAAGAGCCAAAGATGACATCAACTTCCATGGGGACCCTGTGCTCAATTCCTTCTCCTCCACCCATAGGTTGTGTGACATCATCAAATTGAGCAATGCTTAATTCAACTTTAACATTAATGTTTCAGAATCATTACCTTAACATAACAGTGTTTCCAGTTGTTAGCCTGAGGAAAACTCTTGACATTCAGAAGCCATTCTTCCCCATTATGCTACCAGTGTTTATCAATCCTGTTTGCCCTGGCAATGAAAGATATCATTGGTCATTATATATGAGGAATTATTGACTCGTTAAGTTGGATTGAACCACTAAGATTCAGAAAGAACTCCAAAATTTAGCAAACATATGATGATTACATATGTATTACATAAAATAAAACTGCAGAGAAACTGGTCAATTCCCATTCTTTGGTAAAAGAAGTTTCTTCTGAATTCCCTATTGTGTTTCTCAGCGTCTGTCTTACTTTGGTGGACCTCTTGTTCTGAAAGACCTATTATTCCACAATCTTGTTTTTGAGCTTGTTGCTTCCCATTTTCTGCTAACCTCTTAACTCAGAAGTTTCAAAATATGTATGCCACATCCCCTCTTTCTTCTATCCTTTTATTCTAAAATATTGAATGCAATCTTATAATTAAATAATTCTGTTTTAACATTGGCATTTCATTACTTCCTAGTGAACTTGCTCTATCTGCCGGGATGTAAACTCTATGGTATAATTGTCAGAATGGAAGGGGTGGGGAGTTTACATTTTCTTCAATTGCTGAATAATAATGTTCATGCTGTGCTGGTCTTGTTGTGTGGTACTGACATGAGATGTGTCAGTATATGGAATTAATAAATCAATCCCATTCACGTTTTCACAAGATGATGTTCCCCACAATTGTTGCATTATGGTAAGTGGACAAGTACTCACTTCATGGTTTGCTTTTTTAGTAATGTGTAATCAGATGCATGAGTTACATTTGCAAAGCACTTAAAATAATGAGTCAACTTTTAATACGCGATGCCATTTTCTTCTGAACTTATCCATCAGTTACTTGACCGAAAGTAATATAATATCAATTAATTGTATATTTTCCAATGGTTGCGAGTACCTGAGGTTGGCATAAAACACTTTTGTGTGAAAATATTTATAGGCTTTGTGCAAAGCTAATTGCCAGCTTGGTAAGTGGGAGAGTGAAAGGTAGCATTTTCATTTTGCATTGCCATTAAGTTATGATTTGATATACATGGTACTAAGCCAATAAATCGCAAACATGTAGAAGCTCTTTGCAATGACTTCACCAAAACCTGACACACCTCTTTCATTTTTCAGCTCCTCCTGGCAAGATTGTTTTTTGTCTTTGACTGGTGGGTTACTTCATTATGACGTATTTCTTGGCATTCATTCCTGAAAAGAAACGACTCTGTGCACTACTTATTATGTATATGGTTGTGTCTAAACGTACTGCTCCAGTTCTCTGAGAGCTCCATGTTGTTGGCATTTTAAAGGGTTTTTGTCTGCAAAATTGTTTTGTATAGTGAATGTGTATTTCAATGCATCGAAGAGAGCATTTACAAACAGACATTATGAATAAAACTTCATCTGCTCAAATAAACCTGCACACAAAGCACTGTCAAGTCAAATCTTTACTACTACTTCCTAAAACATATTATACATACATCTTGCGATGTCACTGAAAGCTTTATTAATCAGA